GAGAGCACGGGCACCAGCTTGCTGTTGTCCTTGAGCAGCTCCCCCAGCAGCTTGGGTGAGATGGTGAGGAAGTCGCAGCCTGCCAGCGCCTTGATCTCACCCGTGTTGCGGAAGGAGGCGCCCATGACGATGGTCTTGTAGCCGAACTTCTTGTAGTAGTTGTAGATCTTGGCGACGCTCTTCACGCCTGCAGGGGACACCCAGGCACCTGGCTGCTGCGTGCTCGGTGCCCGCCCCCCGCTGTGCTGGCCCAGCCATCCCCGAAGGGCAACTCACCCGGGTCCTCCAGGGGTTCGTAGGACTTCTGGCCCGTGTTGGCCACGTGCCAGTCTAGGATGCGCCCCACAAAGGGGGAGATGAGCGTCACGCCCGCCTCGGCGCAGGCTACGGCCTGGGCGAAGGAGAACAGCAGTGTCATGTTGCAGTGGATGCCGTGCTGCTCCTCCAGCTCTCTGGGAGAGGGACAGGGACAGGGCAGTGTCAGCGTCCCCACCCAGTGCGTTTGGGAGCAGAGGTGCTTATAACTCAGCAGACACCTCAAGCGAGTCTGGGACGCACACCACGGTTCTCTCTAGCAAGGGGGTTACAGGTGGCCGGAATTTTCTTCCTCAAACCCACATTTCCAAACAGGGACAAAGGCAGGGGAGGTCCCCGGCCAGCACCTGCACCAGCACCGGGCACCCCAGACCCTCATCATCACAGGACTCCCTGGGGCCAGACACCACGGAGGATCTCTGACCACTGTCCTGTCAAGCCCCTTACCCCCTGCCCAGGCCACCCTGAGGTCACTGAGACATCCTGGGGCTGAGCCCCCATGCCAGGCCAAGGGCCACGCTCTGCCATGTGGCTGGGGCATGGACTGTGACAGCTGAGCCTCTGCTGGGGTCTCTCTGGGGACCAGTTCCCACCACCCCAGGGGGCAGTGGCCACGCGGGGGTGTTGAAGATGTGCAGCAGTGAGAGACACCCAATGACCATGACCCACCATCTCCACTGCTAGGTGTGTGGCCACAAGAGATGGGACTCACACCCACACCCAAACTTGTACACAGACGTGCATGGCAGCATGATCCGTGAGCCTGAGAAGGGAACAGCCATGTGCCCATCCAAGGACACTAAATGCGCTATGTGCACACACTGGAGCCTCTGCCTTAAAACACAGCCCTGACACACCACAGCCCAGGTGAGCCCGAAACCACGCCAAGGGAGGGAGCCAGGCCCAGGCCATGTGCACGAGACTGAATTTACGCAGACTGTCCAGAACGGGCAGAGAAGGTGAGCGGTGGACCGGTGGGGGGCAGAGGTGACGTGTCACCCGCATACAGCTGCTCCGGTGAGGCTGCCAGTGGCACAGCACAACATATAAACTAGGCGTGAGCGTGCCCGATGACAGGCAAATGGCACAGCTGTGGCTGTGTCACAGGCCTCCGTTCCCTGGGTGGGTCAACGACCAGGTCCTGACCCTGCACACAGCTGGCTCGTGTGAGCCACAGGCCCCAACCCCTGGAATGGGGGACACTCACTTTCCAGCCTGAATCCCCTCCCAGGTGGATGACAGCTTTATCAGAATCCGGTCCTTGCTGACTCCGGCATCCTTGTAAAGCTCGATGAGGCGTTTGGCTCGGGCCACCATGGCGTCCTTGTCAAACGAGAGCCTGCGAGAGCCAGGGGCCCACAGTGAGGACAGCCTCACCTCAAGATGCGCCCCAAGGACAGCACAGGCTGGCGGCTGCTGCCTTCACTCAAGAACCACTTAGAGCCCCATCTCACAACCACGTGCCCGGGGGATGTATAAAAAAATACAGGCTGCAGATAAGCTGCTGAACATGGAGCGCTCAGATCCCGGACACGGTGGACCAACCGCTGCTCCGGCCCACCCCACCGGCACGCAACCTCACCTCGCGTCGACTTCCGTGGATACACGGCCCGGGATCTTCTTCAGTATTTCCGCTCCGAACAACACAAAAAGTTTATCAATGGCATTCTGAATCTGCTGCTCTTGTGACCTGAAATTCCAGGGGGAAAATAGGTTAGTGACTTGTGAGGTGTAAATGGACAGGATTCTATAAAACACATTCTGTTACTCCTTTGAGAAATTCCTTTCGCTCCACCTTTTCTCTTAAAAATGTTTTCCATAATGGTAAAACACACATAGAAAACAATGTCCCATCCTAACCATCTGCAAGCGCGCAGCTCAGCAGCAGTAAGGAGTCACACTGTGTGCAGCCGTCACCTCCATCCACTACCAGGACCTGCATCCCCCCAAACTGAACCCCGCCATCTTTGGTACTTGTCAAAATGATCTTGTCAATGTCTTTGTAGTCGCCTGGGTAGCCGAGTGCAGTGAGGGGCTGTCCCCAGACAGACATTATCTGAGGGTCTCCGGGCAGCGTGTCATGGTTAGGACAGTGGGGCAGTTGGAGGAGAGAGGAGGCCTGAGAGCAGCACCTCCTCACCACATCCAGGAGCACTGAGGCCTCGCTGGTGCAGCGGGGGCGGGGCCAACGTGTGGGAGGGCGGGGAGAGCAGCCTCCACAGCTGTACGCTGCCTGGGCGCTCTGCCCAGGGCCACTGTCCCTTTAGGCACCACTTGCAGCTCTGCATCATTACCCTGGTGACAATTTAAAATGACACCAGGAAAAGGCAAATCTATGGAGACCACTGCCCCATGTGGTTTCCTGGAGTTGGGAGCAGGACGACCTACTAGGACAACCATGGCGATGGCTACACCATTGCATAAATTCGTCAGAAGAAATCAGTCTGTGCACTTAGTGAATTTTACTCCAATAAAGCTGTTGTTAATAAAAGACACCATGGGCCGGCCGAGTGGCTCACTTGGTTAAGAGTGCGAGCTCTGAGCAACAGGGTTGCTGGTTCGATTCCCACATGGGCCAGTGAGCTGCGCCCGAGCTGAGCTGCTGCTGAGCTGCCAACAGGTGGCAGGATGGCTCAGCT